TCTTATTATTGTTTATGACAGAATATAGCTACTTTCCTTAATCTACCAACCAGATAGTAAACACTTATCTGGAGGCCACTTTACTACACTAAATCATATGCCCCACAATGCTAGTCTATAATTATTTTCTTGCTGAATATATTTTCTATTTTCCCTCTTCCAACTACTTATAAAACAGAAGAAAAAATTAGTGATGAAAATATATTCAATCAAAATGTGGTAATTTGTGGACTCAGTTGAAAATGAAGTCTAAAATGGTTTACACATACTGCATCATCCAATAATTTTAAGTTCAGTTCAAGACATATTACTAATATAGCAATTATTAAAGAGTAGAGAACATTTAATTTACTGTATGATTTGCTAAAATATGTTTACTAAGTTACTAAAAGTATTTGAAAAATCAACATTGATCTTGATTTGTAACACCAGTGCTGGCAGCAGAATAGTGATAGACATTATTTTTAAAATTTTCCTGAATTCCTGAGCAGCACTGGAGATGGGAGGGGGTTCGCTGACAGCTGAGGAACAGAGGAGAAAAGGATCTCATATTTACAAGGGCATTTCTTTTTTTTTTTTTTTTTAAATATATTTTATTGATTTTTCACAGAGAGGAAGAGAGAGGGATAGAGAGAAACATCGATGAGAGAGAATCATCGATCAGCTGTCTCTTGCACACCCCCTACTGGGGATGCACCTGCAACCAAGGTACATGCCCTTGACCGGAATCGAACCTGGGACCTTTCAGTCCCCAGGCCGACGCTCTATCCACTGAGCCAAACCGGTCCGGGCTACAAGGGCATTTCTTGAACAAAGCCTTATCTATGGGTTAGAAACCCCTAATATGAACTAGAAACTTATAAAGAAGACACACATTCACCTTACTGGTGCAATTACCCATGCAAAAAGTAACCAAGTTCTATAATTAGTTGCATGATCTTATAAGTGGAAAATGTGAAATAACAAGCTCTATTACTTTCAACATATTTTTCATCACAATATCAACTTCAAAATAAAAACTGTGCAGGTATCGGGCTTTCCTTAATAAATTACAAGTAAAGATTTTTGTTTTTCATTCTGCCTTTAATAGAAATTAAAACCTAATACTTGATGTTTACAGAACACTGTAACTCAGGTATAATGCAGAACAAAAACCCATTCTTTAAATGTTATTTATTCTGTTTATCATGCATGATGTATAATAAAGCAATGTGTTTTTTTAAATGTAAATGCCAAATACTTTCTACTGTAGAATGTCAAACTTCACAGTTCTAAAAACAAATTACTTGTAAAGTGTTGCCTTTATATTTTAGTTTACAATGTTTATTTAATGCAAATCACTTATATTAAATTACCTTCTTGAACTCAGTGAAATCATTCTTTAATACACTCATGATTGATATAATGTATTATCATAAAAAATTTAATATAAGCAGTTTTGATGTGTGTTGTTTTTGATGACTATCCCCATTATGATCAAGATTTTCTAGTACAGACACAAGAGGGCAGACCTACATAAAATAATGAATTTCCTTCTACCTAGAAATGAGCTATACTTTAGTTTGCAGTCTTATGGCAAAGTGGAAAAATGATAAATATTTTTTAAAAATTGTGCTCTTCTAAGTAACAGCATACTTTAAAATGTCTAAAAATTATATTCTAATACTATATAGGAAAGTTGACATAAAAATCAAGTATTACTAATTTTATTTATTGAAGCATATATATATATAAATTTCGTTTACATGTTTTTCACTAACTAATGAATGTGTCCAATGGGTACTGTTGTGTAGAAGTACACACTCTCCATATCCTGCCCCTCCCCCCAAGAAGAAATGCAACAGGAACATGGAAGGAAATACATTTTTCCAAAGAGATTGTTTTCTCTTCTTGTGGGTCAGACAGCTTCTGGGGAGGGTGGGAGGAGAGGGGTGATGTACAGAGAGGGAAGAATCAAGACATTGGTGGGCATTTCACATGGAGGCCTAGACCCCAACCACCGAGGGCACCGGTGGCTTCTCTTCATTCACAAAGGAAAATGCCCAGAGCGCTACACCACCTGCACTGCCGCTGATTTGGTAGGAAACGTGGGAATCAAGGGACACTCATGCCCAGAAGACTGTGAAGCTGACTCACTAATTATCCTGACTGAGTCCTCAGAAAACCACACCTTCCATTACAATATTAGCCATCTGAGGAAAATAAGAGGGGAGGAGGCTGTGAGGATCAAATGAGACAAAACACTCCAAGAGCTACAAGTTCTATATAAACCTACTGTGGTGTTAGATCATGACTTGCCAGATTCCTTTTTTTTTTCACTGTGATAGTTTTGTAGTTGTGCTTAAAAATCATGCACATGCTCACATGAAAGAATAGGCTGATCCTTATTGTAGCTCTCCCCTCCATGTAAAAATTAGACTCCACAGAAGTCAATGTTTTAAAGAATCTTTTTGAAACCAATTAAGACAAGAGCTTTTAAAAATATAAAGATAGCACTAGACACTCCAAGGGGAAGTTAAGATTTTTTTTTTTTTTTTCTGAACCTAGCCTGTGTGGCTCAATGGATAGAGCATCAGCCTGCAGAGTGAAGTGTCCCAGGTTCAATTCCAGTCAAGGGCTCATGCCCACTTTGCAGACTTGATCTGAAATAGGAGGTGTGCAGGAGGCAGCCGATCAATGATTCTCATTCATCATTAATGTTTCTATCTCTCTCCTTCTCTCTTCCTCTCTGAAATCAATAAAAATACATTTTTTTAAATATTTTTTTCTGTAATAGTCCAAGATCTTGTAATTAGATGAGAAGTGATCATTTAAATGTTGCAATTTAAGTGTCTGAGTTTTCTTTACCTAGTTTCATCTTTCTACTCCAAAACTTTAAAGCACTATAGCGATTATTCCAAATAGGGTTGATAAAAAAAAAGTAGAACTTTATAGGGTGTGTGCAAATTTTGTCCCTCAGCAGTTTTCTTCCTCTACCATGTGCTGGAAAGACTTGAAAATAAGTTTTGCTCCACAATACACCTTCAAGATGCCTACCCTCGCTGCACTATTAAGTTGGGGAAAACTTTGTTTATGGTAGAGATTCATTCATCTAAGCAGAATGAAAGGAGTGAATTAATACTTAATCTTTAAATTCAACCAGTTTTCTCAGTTACCTTTCTATCGCCTCCACTTCAGGTTGGAGGGGAATACTCAGCCTCTGGACAACTACAATTCTGTGCAAAGACCAACTAGAGAAATGACTGCCTGATCCCAGTTCTTCTATCGTAAGCTTTTGAGAACTAAAATACAGTATTTTTAAAATTAGGTGATTCTGTCTTTCAGTCACTTGAATTGATAAATCACAAATAAACCTGGTTAAATTGCCCCTTTCTGACTTGTCATTCAGAGATCATAATGATGCTGCTGTCTAATTAAGTATACATAGCAACATTTTAAGAACTAGAGTTCAACACAAGAGCACAGGCGGCATTCGGGATGTGTTAAGGTTCTCACGTTAAGCTATGTATGTTTGGGGTTGTATTCAGATTTGTGAGGTTCCTAGGTAAGAGATCTCTTTTCTCTTTCATAGAATGTATTATTTTAGTCTTTAACACTTTTATTAGTACCAGGAATAAATAATTTTTTAAAAAATTGCTCTAGGGAAATTTTGCAGTTTTTGTTAGAATTAATTTGTTTATATGAAAAGGTGCTCAATATCACTAATCATCATGGAAATGCAAATCCAAACCACAATAAGGTCTCACCTCCACCTTTATGATGCCTATTACCAAAAAGACAAGAGACTAAGTGTTAACAAGAATGCAGAGACAGAAAAGCCGCGCCCTGCTGGTGGGAATGTAAATTGGTGCACTTACAATGGAAACAGTACGGAGGTTCCTCAAAAAATTAAAAATAGAACTAACCATATGATCCAGCAATTTCCCTTGTGGGACTTATCCAAAGGAAAGCGGGGGGCACTAATCTGAAAAGATATGTGCATGCCCCTTTTTAATGAAGCATTATTTACAAGAGATAAGAGATGGAAGCAGCCTGAATGTCCATCAATGGATGATTAGCTAAAAATGTGGCACATGCAGGGTGGGACAAAAGTAGGTTACAGCTGTGAGTTTGCAAAACATAGTTTATTCTTGTATTATTTATTAATTTTTATATTATTTTTCATACAAACAACTATAAACATTCTTTTGCCCCACCCTATACACAAGATAATATTTTCCAGGCATAACAAAGGAGAAAACCTTGCCATTTGTGACAGCATGGTTGAATCTTAGAGGGCATTATACTCAATGAAATAAGTCAAAGACAAATACCATATGATCTCACTTATATGTAGAATCTTAAATAAAAATAAAAAAAACTCATGGATACAGAGAATGGATTGGAGATGGTTCCCAAAGGCGAGGGGCTAGAGGCCCATATTATAAGTTTGAAAGCTGCTAAGTGAAAAACTTAAAAGTTCTCATCACAGAAAAACATCAAATGTGAACTAAACCACACTTACTGTGGTGATCATTTTGCAATATATAAATATATAAAATCCTTATGTTATATGCCTGAAACTGATATGTCAATTATATCTTAATTAAAAAAACGAAAAAACAAAAAAACTGAGGCCCAAGGATATTGAATCATCTAGGTTCTGAATTTGACAGAACACAAACAAATCCAAGACCTCATATTCTTGGATTTATGTTCTATGATAACAAGCCAGATCCTATGTTTCTGTTTAAAGTTTTTCTAGAATCGATATTTATTTTTATGTCCATTGCACAAACCAAGTTTTTCATATTAGTCAGCCTCAAATGCTTTTGAAGTTTAGTCTATCAATGCAATGGTTTCGGCATTTACAGCATCTAGGCTTGCTTTGCTTTCAGGCAAAAGAAAAAGCACAACAGTCTGAGCCTATGGACACACGGCCATCTGCTCGCTGCACGTGTGCTATTCCTGTTCTCACAGCCTCCACTGGAGGGAAGCAAATGCTAGGTTTTGAGCCTTACCTGCATCGGTATTTCACTTTCTTGTGGAAACTCTTCAAGCTGCTGCTGTTGCCACGGAGCTAAACTGTAAGAGTCTTCCGTGCTTCTGCCTTCCAAGGGGTTTGTCCGCAGCTGCTCGGTCAGCCACATCTGTGTCCTCACAGAGGGCTGAATGGGAACTCCACCTACTGCCTGCTGGCCAAGCATTAAGTATTTCGGAGGTTCAAAAGCCTCTGGACTTGTCACATTGGGCTTGCTTTCAGGTAAGGCACTGTATGTCATGTCCAAGGCCTGTCTCCTAAGAGTGGAAGAAGCAGCTCTAAAATCCTCTTTGCTACAGCTCTCAAATTTGTATTTACAGTCCAGAGTTGATGACCGTTTTTTGTTTATTTCCTTGTCCTCTAGCTTAAGCATCTCCATGCTATCGTGTAAGCAGCTGGGCCCAACGGTCCTGAGTTGTGATGGTGAAGCCTTGCCCCTCCCTGGCTTTTCCAGGCCGCTCCTCGACTCTTCGGTGTGAGCAGCAGCTGCCTGACTGCAGCTATCCGGGGCAGTGAGCTTGGATAAAGATGACCATTTCCGGAGGGGCCGGAAGTCCTTCATGTCTAGTGAAGGGTCCTGCTCCCCCTTACCGTGGCTTCCCAGTGTTTGCAGGAGGCTTGCAGTCCATTTGGAGCCATCCGATGTCAAGGACTCCCTGTGTTTGGAAACGGAAGCGCTGGAGTGAGACGGCATGACATGGGCAGTAGGAAGAGTAACCAATGATCGACTAGACTTAAAAGTTAATGTGCCGCTTGAAGTTGAGTGATCTGGAAAGAGAGAAGAATTTCAAATTAGTGTAATTAACAGGAAAAAAGCAAAATGCTGAAGGCCCAAACAAAACTCTGCACAAGTTTCCCAGCACTTTTTGAGAGGCACGTTATCAAAACAGGGGAGTAATTAGTATTACTTTTATTATTCCTTTAAGTTTATCTGAAACAGATCAAGCTTTCAAACATTATTTCCTAAAAATGAATTCATAACAAAATGTATGCTCATTTACCATCTACTGAGATACGGTATAGTCATCCCATTTAATCTAAGTGTTGTGCCTTTAAAAGAAAAATACAGCTCCCCAATGACAGGTCTTACTCATGAGCCAGCACTGACAACTCAGACACAACTTTATCAGAAAATTGTATTTTTCATCATTTTTCCTAAAGTTTGGAAATCTGGGCCAAATCTAAGCATTTTAGTGCTTTTCCCAAACTCTAATTCAAATCAGAAATATGGGAAAAGGAATTCCTACAATATCTATATATAAATAAAAGCCTAAGTTAGTCTGACAGTCCAACCAGTAGCTATGATGCATACTGACCACCAGGGGGAAGACACTCAACACAGGAGCTGCCGAGCTGCAGTGACTTGGCAGCTGTGATTCTTGGGTGATGCACCAGAACCAGAAAGGAAGGAGCCTGATTCCAGGGCATCATCCAAGAACTGCCCTCTTACAATCTGGGACCCCTCGAAGGATGTCAGAGAGCCAGTTTTGGCCTAATCCCTGTAGGCCAGGCCGAGGAACCCACTGGTGCACAAATCCGTGCACTGGGCCTCTAGTTAGAAAATAATCAGAAAGTGTTCCAGCAACATATCTGCAGACACAGAATAATTCTTATAAAAGCAAAGATTATAACTTTTACCAGAGGATATCTATAAAAAAGGATAGCAATCTAAAGTGTTGGGGTAGAGGAGGTGATTGGTAAAAAGCAACTTTCATAGTTTAGTCTATATTTTTCCATAACTGTTTGACTCATACTAGAATATATTTAAATTTTACTTCTGAGCTCTTACATTGTTTTAAATAAATAAAGTAATGGGGAAAGAAATGTTGAAAAATTTGTAAGAAAATTCAGATAAAAGAACCAAGCAGACTAACTCAAAAATGGAATTCCGGTAGGTCTTTGTATGAAATTTATTAAACTGGAGATGAAGAGGGAAAATATTATGATGGAGAAATGTAAGCAGAAATATTATAGTGGACATTTATCATATTCAAACTTCTCTTCTCAGCTTCTACAGAATCATTTGCACTCAGGAAAATTCATACTTTGTAAGTCTAACCTCCCAAAATAAATTTTAGACCTCAAATAACCAACATACACCCTGCAAGCATGATGCGTATCTTCAGAAGCACGCGCACAAGATTTCAATGTGGAAGGGAGTCACAGGAGAAAAAGGGCTGACTCTCTGTGGAGCTACCGTTGTGGGCTGGCACAGGCAAGGGCAGAGGCCCAGCCTTCCACAGTGGCGCAGCAGAGGTGGCAAGCCAAGTTCCAGCCCAGAGGTGGCAGCAGGTGGCAGCGGTGACGGTTTCCTCCAGCTCTTGGTGGCACAGGAAATGGACAGTTCTCAGAGGTGTTTTGGGGCATATTACCTGCAAGCTTAACCTTAACCCTGGTTCTCCAGCTCTCCCCAAAATTCTGTGAGGTAACAAATACCATTACATAAACTCCTCATCTGCTGATTAGAATACTAATTGATCCAAGTAGGATGCCAGAGAATGTGGTTCAAAAAGAAGGAAAACAAATGATCCCATTTATCAGCAGCAAGGAGTGTCAAGAAGAGTTGCTCTAGACAATTCGTGAAAGGTAAAGGTGAGCAGAGTTGTGCAGGTCTTCAAAGGCTCTCAGAGGAAAGAGCCTGGCCTTCACTCAGCAAGAAATGTGATAGCACTGCGAGTTTTCAAACAAAGAATGAGGGACTGGTAGCAGGGGCTGAGGATGGACTAAAGCTAAATGACTGGCAAGAGGGAGATTAACAGGCCAAATGAAATCAATAGAAGAAAATGAAGGGAAATATGCTACTGAAGGTCAGTTGTAAATAAAAACAGGGCAAAAATATCCCCACAAGTATTAATAATATATTATAGGACTAAAGGCCTGGTGCGTGAATTCGTGCATGGGTAGGGTCTGGCTGGCCGGCCCCAATCCGGGCTGATCAAGGGGTTGGGCACGCAGGAGATTGCAAACATATAGGTGAATATATATAAACACAATTTTATTTATTTATGAGCAGAGAAATGGTCTGAAAGAATATATCTAAAACTTAACAAAAAGTAACCCCTGCATAGAATAACAGATCAATGCTTTCCAATTTTACTTTATACAAAGTCTTGTTATAATTTCTTTTCAAGAGCATTACCATTTAGTCAAACTTCAGCAACAAGGTCCTGTTTTGTGACCTCAGAGTGTGAAATATCTCAAAGAACACTGCTCTAAAGTATGAATAATATATCATGTGACTGACTGGCTCACTTTCCATGTCAAAGCTGAAACCTCTGAAAGCAGAGATCAGCAGTCTTTGCAGCCACTTATATTTGATAGTGTGCTACTTTCTTGTCTCTCTTTGGTGGCTCATTATTTCCCACCTGCAGAGAAAATCAACAATTGGTGATATAAAACAACAACAACAACAAAAACAAAAAACAAAAAAAACCCCACAATTCTACATCAGGCTAATATTTACTTCTACAAATCTGAAAACAAATCAAACTTTTTAAAATTTTTCATTTATTAAATTTATTGGGGTGATGACACTGGTTACCATAAACATATAGGTTTCAGGTCTGGGTTTGCATGTTACAAGATTTGTATATTTCGCCATGTGTACCCACCATCCAGAGTCAAGTCTTCTGTCACCATTTATTAGGACCCTCTTCTGCCCCCACCCCGAACAATTCTAACTTGAGCATACAAAATAAGGTGCCCGGCATGTAGAGCCTCCTCCTAGAGACTGTGATTCAGGTAAAGTGGAGAGGGGTCCAGGGAATAACACATTGTAAGAAGGGACTCTGCTATTCTATTCCCACCAACATTACTGCGCCTGCGTCTAATTCCAGTTCTGAAGTCTTCAAGTGGAATATCCTAAGTTCAACCATCACCAACACCTAAGTTCTAATGGAAAATCTGATTTCCTGTGACATTCAGAATTCATTACTGTCAAAACTAAGGATTAAAGCTTAGGCCATTCACATACATATGTACATGAATACACATGTATACATACAACATGAATTAAGGAATTCAAAATTTGACAAGATGTATATCTGAAAAAGGACCATTTTATCTTAGAAATGAATCCAGAAAATATTAATTTTAACACTTTAAATATGCTATCTTGGCCCAATAAAACACAGTCAGTTGGGGATAGGTAGATGCAATGCAATTCCTGATGTATTTTATTATACAATCTAATTGTAGCCACAAATCCCAAATGCAAATTATTACAATGGCTTCTAGCCCACACGTAAGTTACAACAATGAAATCTGAAACCAGCAGAGGGCATTTCTTTTAAAAGCCAAAGGCAAGGTTTATAACATTCACAGAGAGCACAGAGGAGCTAATGGTTTCAGACAGATGTCCGTTTATGAGGGAAACTCTAGGAGGGCACTGCTGAAATCTAATAATGCAAGTGAATTACATTTAAGACTAGTGGCCCAGTACATGAAATTCATGCACGGGGTTGTGTGTCCTTCAGCTCAGCTGCAACCTCTCCAACCTGGGACCCCTCAAGGGATGTCCAACTTCCCATTTAGGAATAGGCAGTCAGACATCCCTCTCACAATCCAGGACTGCTGGTTCCCAACTGCTCACCTGCCTGCCTGCCTGATTGCCACCTAACTGCCCTCCCTACAGGCCTGGTTGCCCCCTAACTTCTCTCCCTTGCCAGACTGGTCACCCCTAACTGCTCTCCCTTACTGGCCCGATTGCCCTCAACTGCCCTCTCCTGCTGGCCTGGTCGCCTACAAATGCCCTCCCCTGCTGGCCATCTTATGGCAGCCATCTTTGACCACATGGGGGCGGCCATCTTTGACCACATGGTGTAGCCAACATGTGCGAGGGTCAATTTGCATATTACACTTTTATTATATATGATAACATATTCTGAACTCTGAAGAAAATCCCAGCCTCCTGTTTTACTTGCATGTTAGTCATACATGGCCATGGATAAATACTTTGATCGTGTCTTCTCTCTCTTTAGGGAGAGGCTAACTCTCTCTCTCCTTCTCAAAATAAAAAGGAATAAAACCACACCCTCCAGACCTATAGTATAACAATAAATCATGAGTCTTTACAGTTAAAAGAAAAAGTAATCAGGAAACTATACCACCCTGTATTAAAATATTCTGATTTTAAATGTAGCAGCTTAATGTGTTTACCAGTCAATAGTAAATATTATATTTCATATTTTTAAACAAAAATGTTAACTCTAACACAAAATCAGTAATTCAATTTTATACAACACCATGATACTTTTTTTTGTCCCCTACTAGTGCCACAATCATATGAAGTGAAAACAATTTTTTAATGCTACATGTAACCTCATTCTTCTTTAAAAACAAACAAAAAACAGACCAAATGAAGATTTCTAACCATTCTCTATATTTTTAGATATATATTTTAACATATTTTAAACTACACTCTAGTAGGAAAAGGGCTAGCTACAGAATCTCAACAATAATCAACCAAAGACTCTCTGAGGACTGTCTTATGTGCAAGGCACTGTTCTAGGTAGAAAAGATGATGCAAACATATTTACAATAATAGTATGAATACAGTTCTACCCCAAAGGGTTTACAATTTCGCAGTTATACACGCAGCTGCAGAGCAGGGCTAGTTTATCATAAGGAAACTACAAAACACCAGACAAGGAGAAGTGAGCCAGAGAAGAGGCAGGCTATTCATAAAAGAACTCTCAGAATGACAGCCAAGTGCTCAACTGTCATTCTGAGATAATGAAATCCAGAACACAGTGAAATAATACCTTCAA